ATTAGAGAAAGTTATAAAAAAGCAAAATAAAAACAAGAATTTCTCTTCACTCCAGAACCAGAGGGGATGTTGTGGGTAAGATTGGATATATTTGGGAGTCTATCATAAATCAATAAATGTGAGTAATTTTATTTGAGAAGGGTAGTATGCAGTTTATGATTTAGAGAATTCTGATGGTAGAAGTTTTCCTAATTACTGAAGTTAATCAGATATCCAAATTCCACAGGGTTTATCTGATTTAGTTAGGAAACCTCTGAGTTCTCTAAAACAGAGTTATCTTTCCAGGACTCCTATAATGAAGAATAATAGCTCACCCAATGATCAGTAGGGGTTTTGTTCCTTTTGTCACAAAAATTTTAATGTGAACAACTTTATCCCAAGATCCACATTTATTTTTGGCCCTAAATCGTAACAATGGTACAGGACATTCCATTAAATCCAAAGTATCCATTTACATGTTGTTGTTGTTGTTATGTGACATCGAGTTAGCCCTGACTCACCTGACTCATAGCGACCCCTCCTTGGGTTTCCGAGGCAGTATCACTACGGAAGCAGGATTGCCCAACCTTCCTTCCGAGGAGTGTCTGGTGGGTTTGAACCGCCAGCCTTCTGGTTAGCAGTCAAGTGCCTTAGCCACTATGCTACCAGATATATTTTTTTCATGGTAGCTGGATTTGCTGGTGGTAGATTTAAATGCTTATAGAAAAAATATGAGCTGTTTTCAGTGGCTTTTCTCTGAGACCTATCAAGGTTTTCTTTCAAGTCATTTTTGTTAATCCAAGAGTCAGATATGTTCATGTTACCACTCAGTGCTCATATCAGAATATTTCCATTCATGTGATTGGTGGCATATGATCAGTGATGAAAGCTCTATGAAGACCAAAGAGATTTTTAAGTCCTTATATAAAGTTACTCCTTATGAAGCATGACTTTTGGGATCTGAAATGCCCTCTTTGATTTTAGTCTACTACTTCCTCCAATCTTTACATCCCATTTTGTGTGCCTTTGAACTCTGAAGCAACAATATTAGAAAAAGAAATGAATTTAAAGATCAAGAATGATTTATTGATGAAGATTGGTGAATTGGTTTTATACCCTTTCCTTCATTTTTATTTTTTATTGTTACAGACGAAGCTACTATGGAGGAAACTGGGCCAGTTTTAGCTTTTCAGGACTATTATCCTGGCTAAACGAATACCAGGTAAAGTTCTTATTTCATCTTTTAATTTGCTTGGTTATATTTTATTTCACACGATAACTCTGTATTGAAAGAAACTGTATAATACAGGATTAGTATCTAATTTATCCACAAATATAATGTACAGTCATCTTTTTCATAATATAAAAAAAAACAAAACAAACCCGCTGCCATTGAGTTGATTCTGACTCAGTGACCCCCCATTGGGTTTGCAAGGGTCTAAATCTTTTTTGGAAGTAGATTGCCTCATTGTCCTCCTGTGGAGCCACTGGCAGATTTGAACCACTGACCTTCTGGTTAGCAGCCAAATGCCTTATCTATAGGCGTTCCTTTTTTTGCATTAATAGATATGTCATAAATCCTATACACATGATACAATTATCTACATACTCTGTATGCTCAAATTATAAGTCAAAAGTTATTTGCCAAAATAACTTCCTCAGAAAAGATATTCTACTCCATAGAAAGTCTCATACATATTGTTATTACTGTTAGTATATTTTGAGCAAAAAAAAAATGATTTGGGGGAAGAAACAATTTGAGATGATCTCAGTGGTGGTTTTGTATGTTCCTAGAGGTCACTTGGGAGCTCTGGTAGCATAGTGGCTAAGACACTTACCTGCTAACCAGATGGCTGGCGGTTCAA